TTCAAGTCATGCGTGAAAATAAGAAATGATTAGAGAAAAAAAAAAAAAAAAAAAGGGGGAGGTCACTGGGGCAGGATTCAGGTTGGTACGCCGTTTCATCTAGCCAATGGAAGCCATCCACGATTTGGTTGAAGCAATTACTTCTAAGTAATTTTAACTGTTAATGTATTTGCAGCGTGGATCAACAGTACCAGAATGATGTGCAGCTCGTTGCCCCAGCGGCAAATGATATGGAAAGATTCGAAGCGCAGCGGTATGGTCCTTGGGAATCCTTTTATGCTTTGCTAGTGACGATAACATGTTATGACGGTAATTTTATTCTTTTTTAGGCAACAGATTCAGGAGGCATTGAATCGACAGACTTATCATCAGTTCCGGGCTTACGCTCAGCAGCAGTTTGTTGGCGATCCTATACAGGTTTCGGTTTTGCTTTCTTTTTTGACTAGTTTATTTTTTTTTTCCTTCGTGTAAATGAATTTTCTTCCTCTTACATATGTTGCAAGCTGTTTTAGCAGGTTTTCAATAAACTGCGTGGGAAAAGATCAACTAGAAATCTCCTGCTATTGCAGAAAATTCAGAAACCAAACCGCATTATCACCCATTTTACCCGTAGACATCCTTGTTCTTTTCCAGTACTGGACAGATATAGCTCAAATGCAAGGCTATTGTTCAGTAGACCTGGGGAACTTTGCATTTTGAGCTCATCGTAAAACTCTTTTCGCACAGTTATGTCTTCCTGAATTACTGCAAGTTCCGTTGCTCTAAGTTACATAGTCGAAACTCAACTGCTACCGAGACCTCTTTATTTCATTCTTCTCTAACAGTATGCTTCTTGTCAGCACAGTTGGAACTGCACTCTCACCAGAATAATTTTTGAGGAATTTCATGTCTTCTAGAATCCGGCTTTGCCTAGTTGAACTTGTGCAGGCAAAGAGGCTTAAGAGCAAAAGTCAAATATGAAAAAATAATTGCTGCTGCACTCCAAAGAGCCTGGATACGATCAAGCTTTTAAGTCTGTCTTATAAAACTGTACAGCGAGTGGCTGTGTCAGATATGCAGTAGCGATTTTTTTTTTGCCCTTTCAATTTTTGATTTCGTCTCTGCATCGTTCTGAATGTGTACTAGTTAAAT